GAAGCGAGGGCTGAGCGGCTTGCCACTCGGGCCTCGCTGCTCTTCTCCCCCCCGCCGCCTCCGAAGTGAGGGCTGAGCGGCTTGCCGCTCAGGCCTCGCTGCTCTCTTCGCCCCCCCAAGCGGCGGCAGCGAGGGAGTTCGCAGAGCGTTCCCTGTGCAGGCGCAGGGGACGCGCTGTTACTTTTGGGGGGATTTAAGTATCCCCCTGATATTTTTTTCAGGTTTTAAGATTTTTGTGCACACCTGGGGACCGTACCAAGTGTGCACAAAAATCTCTCCCCCAGGTGCCCCCGATGTGTGGATTTAGGTATCCGCACACAGGGGGCATCTTCGGAATTAGATATATAGATTGATTTTTGACACAACTTCTGTATTGTATATTCCTTGGCTTGATGGACAGATTCTAGTGCATAGCAGTGGGCTGTGCACATGCTGTTGTGTGACGATCACCACAATAGAATGGGGTACTGTCTCAGCTGACGTCACTGTCATTTGTAAAAAACGCCATTGCACAAGCATCGCTATAGCTTTGATTGCTTTCTCTGTGTGTTTAACTCTGCAGCACATTTTTTTGTATACAAAAGATGAAAAGGTGCAATTAAAATGATCAATCACGATTAGCACATACAAAACACAAGTTATCAAAATCTAAGAATTTTTCAGTTGGGTTACTCAAGAAAACAAAGCTATTGCTTTTGGTACAAACAGACGACATCCCCACTCATATATATCCAATTTATGCTGTTAGTTCCAAATTTAGCAAATGATACATAATTTAAATTATATGTATAAAGATATGGGAGCTAAAGACCAGTTTCTAGGTGAATAAAAAAATCTAGAATATTTGGATTATAAAACATGGGACTTTTTATGTCGTTTCATATATACAATTATCTCTCTTTTTCAAGGGTTTGATTCAAGAGGTTTATATCACTGGGTGAGGTGGAAGATCTATTCTTGGGCCCAATTGTCACTTCTGAGTGACAATATAGTTTGGGCCCAATTTAGCTAGGAATATTTAAGAACATGGATGTGAATGTGCAGTTAACTGCACATCAGAGTGTACTTCTCAGTCAAGCAACACAGTGCAAACAGACGACATCCCCACTCATGTATATCCAATTTATGCTGTTAGTTCCAAATTTAGCAAATGATACACGTTAACATGCTTATACACACTCTTTAGCTGGACTGGGGAATTTAACTTTGGGAGAAAACGATGGTGTTTGCCCAATGAACATTATATATTACTTGCAGCTGAAGCCATCAGATATTTAAAGAATGTGTATGGGACACTACATGCTACTACATTCAGTCACAGTTTTAAAAATTTAGCAAAATTTAGTAGCAGTTTTTTTCAAAAAAAAACCCAACAAAAACCAAAGGTAAGGCTGAATGGCAGTACATGTTTAAAGCTGGGCTTCCTCGGTCCATCAAGACAAACTACATAGGAAAATACAGGTTCTATACTAAAAGATGTGTCATATGGTACATACACAGTGAAGAAGACTTGCAGGACGACATGACTATCTTCTGTCTACTCCAGAGCCATTTCATTTATCAAAAATGGTCTATAGGCTGAAAGTATATTCTGCCACACTAACTGGCCTTTTAGTAATAGCTATAGCCTAGCAAGAAGTGCTTCACAGTTATTAAGCACTAGCCTGGTACCTATGCTTTGCTACAGTATTTAAGTTCTGTAAATTCAGTTATAATACTGATGATGTGAAATTTTAAATGTGACATTTGTTATAGGAATTCTAATGGAGAAGATTGTAGTGTAAGAAATGAAGTGAGACATACGTACTTTTTCTCTCTCTACTGAAGGACCTGTCTGAAGACCACAGTGGTGGTTCTGCCCTCGGGTGCTAGGATCACCAGGCTGCTTGATGAGCTCACTCTGGAGCAGGCCACATAGAACTGTCCATTTAAGAAGCAGTCGTCTGTTAAGTCAACTCCTGCTACCTTCCACGAAAGTGATGGCCTCTCCACTTGTGTTCCTGGATTGTTTTGCTCATATGGAGCACCTCAGGGTGATCTTGCTGGTACTTGGCCTATGCAGCTCAGTGCATTGCAAGAGAACTATGTGCAGATGTCTTTGCCGCATTCCTAAGTTGCCTCCTCCTCGTAGCGTTGGTGTATCTGGTTCGACGTTTGCCAGGAGCTTTCTTGGGGGCAGTAAGAGGTGAGAGGTGTGAGGGGGAGTTGGTGTGGGGGACTGGTGATGTGGTGAACATTTCTTCAGGTTCATGAAGGAGGCATGCATTGAAATGGCTCCTAGAAATGTCCTTTACTATCTCCCCATAAACATTCATACCCTGGCCCTGCTCCTATACCTGACAGACACTGGCCTGTCTGGTGTTGGGGGGATTGTATTTAAAGGCATGAGGGAGGCTGGGCCATCAGCAGGGCTAAGGCAATCCTGCTGAGCAAACCTCCCTTGCGGCTGTAAGCATCCCACCTCCTCTCCTACACCTGACTAGCAGCTGCCTGCCCAATGTAGGACAGGAAGGGGGGAAGAGTATTAGAAGCCACTGTGGAGGCAGGGCCGGCAGGATCACTAAGGTGTTATTGCTGGGGCGGACTCCCTCGTGGCTTTAAGCATCCTACAACTGCTGCTGCACCTGACAGACAACCACCTTTTAGGTGTAGGAGGTGGGGGGAGTGTGTTGGAAGCCATCAGAGAGTCTGAGCCAGTAGCTTTGTTTCACCTCACAGGCAATGCTCCCTCTAAGCTGTGGAGTCTTGTGAGCAAAAATTCTACTTGGTGGGCTACTGGCATTAAAGTTGTGAGCGAGCGATTTGGCGGCTGCATAAATTAGTTTGCTCTGGAGCCCTCTTTCCTGAGTGGAGACAAAAATGCATGAGCAGGTGGCTAAAAAACTGTGAGCTAGCTCACACTAACTCATCTTAGAGGGAACACTGCTCACAGGCAGTTGGCCACTCCTGATTTCCTCAACTGTCATTAGCTCTCTGCAGTCCCCTGTACTTTTTTTTTTTAAATCTCAATACTGAGCTCTGCAGCTGAGCAATCAGAGAGTGGGGGGGGCAGGGAGGCAGCTGCCTGGCAGCTGCATAAGAATCAATGGGGGGAGTACATTTTACCCCTTTTGACCCACTTAGGGGTCGAATTTCTAAAAATCGCTTCTTAGTGAGCACCTACGCCATGGTAGGAGTGCTCTCCCCGAATTTGGTGTCTCTAGGTCCAGCGGTTTGGCGTGGGCGCTGATTTTATGGTGAGGCGACTTTATTTTATATATATAGATGTGTGCTCAGGCCTACAAACATGCATGTTTACAGTTTACATACTGTAAGCCAAAAAAGAAAGATGTGATGTTTATGTATGGAATGTCTCTATCTTATAACATGAAAAGGAATTTTCATGAAATTGTGGCAAACTGGTTACCATACTTCGATTAAAATTTGATAGGGATACCAGGGGTCCAATAAGAGTACTTCAGAGGTCAGATTCAGCCTGTGGGACATCAAATTATCATCATGATTTTAGAACATGCTTTTAACCTTTCAGGAATTTATAGTTAGGACTAGTTTCATATGAATGTAATCACCCAACCAATGAGCTAGGGATATGTGCATGAAAGGAGGTTTCCATACACACATGTAGCCCATAGCTGAATCTGGGCAGAAGAGATCATGGGATTCATAAAATGGCAGTTTACAGCTATGCAGGAAGAAGAGGTAGCCTTGGTTTATTTTTAAAAGAACACAAGAGTTTCAATGGAGTAGCAAGAGAACGCTCAGCTTCAAAATATTTCTTTTAATGTATAAAACAGTTTCACAAATTGACACAAATATTGGGGAGGGGAAGAAGAGGGGCTGGTGTGGCTCATCACCATGGGATATCATTGGCACTGATGGGTAATTGCAACTGCATTCTCTACAGGATGATTATCACTACTGGTATAGTATAGGGATCGTTTTTTTTTCCAGTAAGGAGAAAAATGCAGTATCCCCACAACAGAAGTGCTACACTGAGGAAGGAGAGAACAGATTCCTTTGCAATAACTCTCAATTACTGGATGAACAAACTCACCACCCAAAAAGGCCACAAATCCCACAAGTGTGGTATAGCTTGTCCCTTCCCAAAATTAGCTTAATTGCTGTTTGTGAAAATACAATGTGTCTTTCATGATCATGGACTAATTTTCCTTTTGCGCCTTAGTCCTTAACTTACGAAGTTCCTCTTCCAAACTTTTAATGTGTTCTTTAAGGGCTGTTTTATCCTCCTGGGCTTTCTGATCAGCTTGCTTCCGAGCTTCCTCAATCTTCCTTTCATACCACTTCTCCATCTGACACGAAACAGCCTCAAAGAAATACTGTGTAATTTCCAGTGCCTGAGAAGTGCTTCCAAGTTGAGGTCTGGGCTGGTTTCCTTCAGGGACAGCAAGCAGTTGCTGGTGCGGCACAGGGTGAGCTGCTGTATGTTGGTGGGGCCTGTGCTTCAACTGACCACTTCTGCTTGATTTCTTTGTTTGAGTTCCTTTGTCCACACAGTAGCCACTCTGTGACTCTGGCTTTGTACATTCAGCAGAGGCCTGTGAAACAGTCTGGACTTTAATGTGCCGTAATTTGGAACCTGAGTACTGGGACAGTGGCAATTCCTGTTGCAGTCTGCCATAACCTGCTTTGTCCTTAGGCCTCACGACTGGAGGAGATACTGTTGAAGGAGCAGGGCCAGCAATGACTACCTGGTGCTCTGTTCCTTTAAATAAGGGGTGAAAGTTCAGTGAGTATTGTCTTAAGGCACAGCACTAAGAAAAAGCAGATACCCTCCTTAAGGAAGGACACAGGGCTGCTTTACAGATGCAAACTGATCCCTAAATGATTGCAACCATCAAATGAAGACCTGCATCTAATCAGAGCTAGAGCTTTTGTGTCACCTCAGATGCTGTACTTTATAACAGAACAAAACTGGTAACTCAGCTGTCCATTATCAAACATACAGTGATCAATCATTCAAAACCCAAATAAGACACATATATGTGAGAGCGAGCCCAGAATGTCCCACCTACACTATGTACAGCAGGCATTCGCAAATGGCAGGTTGAGATCTGGGTCTTCAGTAGACCAACACAGCTGGACTTACCCAGAAAGGAGACTGCAAGTTTCTTAGAGTGGGCCAATTTGGACAGTCCTAATGTGATATACACAATAAAAGCTCTGCCACTAAAAACACTAATGACAGCTACAATCACTTTAACAATCCTAGTTCCTTGTAACTTTCCCATTCAGGTCATTTTCCTTTAACTATGTTAAAATGAAAGAACCAGTGGGCAGATGGCTGTAATATGTACCTAATCATCCTCTCAAAATTCTATTAATTTCAGGGACACTAAGCCACTACTGGAAGCACTGGTTACTTCACAGAGCTACCTCCTGCTCCAAAGGTACTGCAGGGCATCTAGAAGAGCGTGATAATTTTAGTGAGTCACTGGCAATTTGAATGATAGTTCCTTTTAAGCTTTTCATGGCAACCGAAGAGTACTGATTTGGGAGGGAGAAGTTAAACAGGAGCAGTTTATATGCAATGCCGTAAACAAGGGAGCAAGATACACACAACACCAGGGAAGGAGTAAAAGTCAAAGCCAAAGGGTGTCATTGAAGGTTGGGTTTAAGATCTACCCCCAAATGGAGCACTGTGATTTTGTTAATGTATTTTACTGTTTTATATTATGTGCTTTTATTGTTTTAATCTTGGCACTTTGTGCCCTTGTTAGCCGCCATGAGCCTTCGGGGTAGGGCGGGATACAAATCTAAAGATAAATAAATAAATATTAAAATTCCCCTTTACAGTTAAAAATCTGGTATTAAGTTCCCAGTGCACTTTGAAATTTTTCCTTGGGAATTTTTTTAACAGACACATATAACTTCCTGGTGAAACAAGGGAACTGTGTCTGAAGAAGTTTTGTCTGTCCATTTTAAAAATCCCCTCTCCCCTGCCCTCAGAAGATTTTCAATCTACATTGGGAATTTTACATCATATTTTTAACTGTAAATTGGCATTTTACATTCAGCTTTCTACAGCACCTTTTGGTATTACATTTGGCTTATTCCGAAGAAGTGTAAAGAAGTGTGCTTGCACATGAAAATTTATACCTTGAATTAAACTTTGTTGGTCTTAAAGGTGCCACTGCTTCAGACCAACACACCTGAATCTATTTGGCTTATTCATTACACTAAATATATACCCTCAAATATCCTGATTCTTCTGTCCTCAGAGAAAGTTACTGTGATGAAAGCATTATCACAATTTATTCACAGCTGTATGCTCCAACAGGATTAGGGATCTAAGGAGCAGGGACACTTAGGAAATGACAGTTCAAAAAGAGCAATTAGACTTTTACAAAATAACTACTTTTTGAGCATTGGGGGGGCTTAACTTTACACTTAGAAAAGATGTTTGGGAGTTAGCAGAGTCAAAGCTAGTCTACCCCCTGTTAAAGTCCTGCTGGCTACCCTAGTTGATGAACTTCCACGTTCAGGTATTGATCTGAAGCAACAGGACAAATTCTGAGTCCAATGGCACCTTTAAAGCCATGCACACGAAAGCTTATATCCAGAAGAAATCTTGGACTCTAAACTAAAACATGGCCACCTCTATTTGATCAAGTGGAGCGATTTTGACCCCAGCCATAACGAGTGGGCGCAGGAGGAACACGTCAGGGCTCCAAAGATGGTGTGCGCTTTCCATCGGCACTTTCCCCAGAAGCGGGGGGGGGGCTTGGAGGGGGCAGTATGTCAAACTCAGAGTTTCGTTTGCCGTGATATTCTTTGTTCTCTTGGTTCAGGGATGCATTGGCTGATCGGGGGAGGGGAGGGAATGTGTCAAGGGAATGTGTGGGAATGTGCTTTGCTAGATGCCTGTAACGTTTTCCTTAGGAGCCTTCTGGGAAGGAAAGAAAAATGTGTCCTTAAAGCCTTTACCGCCAGGGGTACTGTCATAGATAAAGTAGTGTGAGTTCACAGGTGGGAGGGGGGATGGGCAGGCAACAGCTTGGTGGGACGAATGACTGGTATGACTGGACGGGGCAATGGGGGGCAGTTCGAAGTAGGTATAATATTGGGGTTGGTGCCAATAATTGTTAGTTCTGACATAAGTTGGCTTGTATCTGTCATGGCTTCATATCTCAATAAACAAATCCTCTATCCAAAGAGTGTTGTTGAGAGTTGAGTACATACATGTTCTTTTTGCTACAACCAACGAACACACCAGTCACTCTGGAAAATTGCTCACATGGAAATACCTGATGTGTTGGCTTGTTGAACTACAAAATATTGCTTCCCAAAGCTTTGTTCTGTTGTTTGCAGTTGACTCCTACTAGTATCTTCTGAGAGACTATTCTGAAGAGCAATGCAAGAATGCTGGTGTGACCCATCTGACTGCAGTGGAGTCTGGCTTGTTTTACAGTCCTTCGTACTATGAAGATTTTCTGTATCCAGGGTCTCAGTGAGAGACTCGCACGTGGACTGCATTGATTTTGGTCTTGAAGATCTAGAATCTCCAGAAAGCTTCAGTTCCAGATTCTGAATTTTTAACATGCACCATGCTTTCAAATCGCCCACCAATGAAACCTGCAAGAAAAACCCACATGGATGTCAAGGTACAACAACTGCCATCTTTCTCAATTCCCAGCTGCTCAAGGGCCATGTTTTTCCAGTCCCATCCAAACTTATTTATTTGGAAGTAAATCTCACCAAGTTCAATAGGACTTACTTCCTAGTATGGTTGCTCAGAATTACAGCCTTGGCTTATTTCATATTTTGCTTGTAATATAAAAAGCCACGAAGGTAATGGCACCTTTGCCTGAAGCACTGTAGGAACACTGTGATTTGTTACCATGTTCCTGAGCCACAGCAGATTCAGCAATCAGAGTATAAGTGCTGGTGCAGCACGACTTAAAATCCATTTAAAATTTAGTGCTTACTGGACCAAACAAAGAGAGGTGTGTTACAGCTGCAGTTCTATTACTGCTCCATTCTGTACATAAAAATTGTCTGCTCCTAGGTTAATTGGGACTTTGTTTTCATTTTGAACATCTGTTCATTAATCCTCAGTTTTGATTTTTAGGTCTCAAACCACAGTGCTTACCAGAGAGCATCTGTGAAATGTCTTGATATACATCTCTCTCAAGATTGAAAGAAACTAATGTTTTAGAATCTACCCACCCTGTGACTGAAAATGGGTTATCTGCTAATTTACCTGATGGCTACTCAGAAGGGAACTGGCCTTTGGATCTGAAAGTCTTAAATAAGGAATTATGATGCTGAGAGTGTTATTTTTTTTAAAAAAACCAAATAATGCTAAAAAACCTTATCTTCTCTTAAGCAAGACAAGAGGATGCCCAGAACAGATATATCTACACATGAGTAACTGATACTTGAATAGTGATCAGCTCATTCCAGGTTATATTGGATCTGCTCAGCAGACTTCTTTCGTTTCCATAGCTATCCAAAGGAAGACAATGAATTAATCTATGCAAACACTGTGTGATAGTAGCCAGGAGTGGATGAGCAGTGGCAACCAAAGTAGTAAACAAAGGCAAAATATTATTTCTGATACTGTAACTAAAATTCCATTCTAACGAAAAACATTAGGTCACCATATTAAAAGTGTTCTTCCTATGTGAAGAAAGACTGGATAATGCCCCCAACTTTTGGCTCAAGAAGATGGTTCTCTTATCTTCTAGAACATCAAAGTAAAACAGCCTAGAAGAAAAATTCGTTCTGTTCAGCAAGTACATTCTGAACTAATGTATTTGGCAGGCAGAAGAAACCTTATCTTCATTAGAAATCATTGTTTATCCTTTCCTTAGAAACCCTCTGGATATTTTTGCCTTGGTGCATGAAATCAGAAATCACTCCTGGAAAAGTGCATTGGGCCGCACAACTCTATGAACTAAAAGATCTAGGAAAACTTGTGCCAAACTAATTATAGATATGTGTTTCTTGGAGCACTGACCTCAAATTGAACCATACAAAAAGCTAAGTTGGGGTGTTTTTAAGGGTCTAGATTTATGATGAACAGTAAATTTTATAGAACTTTTTATTGTACACCATCATTTCCCTCTGCTAAACCTCACCTGAGGAGTAAAATCCCACTAGACTTCTACATTACTCCTACAGTCAATATTGGTTAATAGGTATAAGAAAAAAACAATAACAAAATCAGGAGCCTTTGCTTTAGAATTGTGAAAACCCTGTGTTTTGTTATGTCAGGATAAAAGTTAGACCATTCCTCTTCTTCTGTTGGTTGTATCTGTGTTTCCACTTTGTTCTTTCTGCTATAGCCAATGTCTGATGGAAATGAACCTGAAATTACCCCAGCAAAAAGTATATCACTACCAGTTACTACTGTCACTGATGATCATTGTGCTTAACTTGTACTTACCTTGTACAGATCCGAGTTTTTGCACAGAAATATCACAAAGTATCATCTTGCATCTCATCACCTTTGAGCCCTACGATCTGCATGTATATGTGTGTATATGAGACCAAGACTTCATACACCTGACAAACTGGGCCCTATCTCACAAAAACCTTTTACAATGAATCCGTGAATCTTTCGGGTACAGTAGATATCCCTCACTACATTAAATATTTATTTGTTAACCTACCTGCCGTGTCTCCCCTTCATTTCTTTCCAATTCAGCATGCTGCTGAAGGCGATGGAGGCACTCTGTCCGTTCTGCTGACAGTCTCTCTGCCATCAATTTGTCTAAAACACGGAGCTGTGGTAGAACAGAACACTTCAGCAGAAGTAGCACCAATGCATACATTGACTCATCATCACCTTGTACCTGACCTGGAAGCTCCAACTGATCCAGAACGCAGCCACACGGGTCCTTACTGGGATCCCTTGGACAGCAGACATGGAACCTGTGCTGTGTGAGCTCCACTGGCTCACCAGTGGAGCACCAGATCAAGTTCAAGGTTTTGGGTTTGACCTTTAAGGCCCTTAGCGGTCAGAGACCTACATACCTTCAGGACTGCCTTTCCCAATATGCCCCAGCTCAGGGAATAAGAACTCCCTGGTGGTCCCCGGCCCAAAAGAGATCCGACTGTCCTCAATCAAGGCCAGGACTTTTTTGGCCCTGCCCCCTACCTGGTGGAACCCTCTGCTGGAGAACATTCCACGCCCTACGGGAGAGTTACTACCTTTCTGCAGGGCATGCAAGGCAGAGATGTTCCGCCAGACATTCAGTTGAGGACAGCAACAGGACACTAGGGCACCTGGCACTCTCATATACTTTCCCAATCCCTCATAGCCCCTCCCCCCTAGGGGGCTGGGGAGCTGAATTTTTTCTTGCCATCTTGGAATGTATATGGTTTTATTTACCGATCTGTTTTATGTAGTTTAATGCTGGTTTTAACTTAAATAATTTATTTTATACTATTTTGTTGTTGTCCTGAGCCCTGCTTGTAGGAAAGGGTTGCCTGGCAAATCTAATTTATTAAATAGACAAATAATAAATAAATAAATCACATCTCATTACTTAGTGAATCTCTCCCAGTTGCCAGCTCTTTTATTTCAACTTACTTTACTAATGATAAAACTAGATCTAAACAGGAATATTTCTTAAACATCACAATTGTGGTGGGGGGAAAACTATTCTAAAAATGTAATGTACTTCAATCATTTCATTTCCCAGCTGGCATATAGCTAGTGGGAGAAACAGTGAACAAGTTATCAATTTGCTTTCAGTCAAAGAAGACTTCTATGCTTTAGAAGGCATCATTATTTTCTTTCCAAGGCCTACACTGCAACAACAAACCTTGACAGATTAAGATGTAAACGAGAGAAGTGATGTAAGACCCATGATACACATTATGTTCACCATGGAGATGCTGGCATGGAATGGCCTCCATATTGGAACACTGTACTGTGAAGAGCTTTCATGCTACTAACCACCTGTCAAAAAACGTCTCCCAACAGTGCCTAAATTGTACAAGCTTCAGGGGCAATCCACGGAATAGCCACATAGGGCCTATAGCTAGGGTTGCCAGCCCCCAGGTTCAGGCAGGGTTTCCCCTGCTTCTGGGGGCTCCAATCCACCCCTGCCCCTGGAGCTCGCGGGGGGGCTGGGGCTGGCATGGGCCTGAATCCCAAGCGGCAAATCATCGCTTAGAAATTAGCCCCAATGCATGCCACGGCCCCTACCCGTCTAGTAAAAAGACCTATTAAAGGGTCTCCCCACTGATCAGCTGAAGCCCTTTAAATTGCTGCAGTTGGGGAGGGAAGGGTGGCTGTGAGCTTTGGGGGGCAGGGCTTGGGGCATCCACCCCCACCCCTGGAACGCCCCCCAAATACCCCCACCAGAAGGACGAGAGGACCTGGCAACCTTACCTATAACCCTTTACACCCATTCTAAGGAGATAGAATGACATATGAATGAACCTCAGGCTCACAGTGGCAAGATTGCCCCCCTCCACCCGGCCTATTTAAATATGGAACACAGTGGGTTCCTGATCAAGCGGAGTCAGTCTTACATGTCTAGGCTCCATATATATGTCCCAATGAACATAGTATAAGACAGAATTTACCACTGCAATGCTGCTTCAAACCCCTTCAAATATCTACAGATGCTTCCAGCAGCTTCCACATAATAGTTATAACAAGCAGACCAGCCCTCACTCTGAAAGTGGGATGTTCCAGACATTTACAGAAATACCTTGTCTTTGGGATGCTGATTTACCTGATGCTGCGTTTTGTTTTCCATCTGTCCTAGTTTGCTATTCATCTTATCCTGTACAGTCACAAACTCAGCTTTTATTTCTTCCACAGCTGCTGCAAGCTGATTCTCTACTTTATTTATCAGTGGCTCACAACGGCATCCATTTATTGGTGCCTGTGAAGAAATAACAACTGTGACAACCCACCCTTCTGTGCTGGAAAAAAATATATCTTTACAAGTTCAGCTGGCTAAGAGTACAACAAAGGTAACCACAGCAAAATGTCTATTGTTCCCTTCGATAATCCCTTGGGAATACAGGAAGAAAATAATCAAGATGATGACAACAGACAGGTAGACTATATATAGTAGGATCTGAAAATAAGTAGGTCAACCTAGGGCTACAAGCTGAGAGCCCATCCTTTGCATTTCTATTTCATTAGAGTGACAAAAATGTTAAGTGCTTTGAAGAGTCAAGGTTGCAGCCAATATTTCAAAAGTATTTGTGCTGCTGTGAGTTTACACTGGAGGTGGGACCACTTCACATTTAATGGATTCACAGTTATGGCCTGTATTCTGTGAAATCGCATTAAAGCAGTACCACTGAAACTTCTCTAGCTCATCAGTCTTATGTTAAATAGAAACCTAAACCAAAAAGTATTAATATTATTCATTACACTCATTGGGAATATAAGCTCTTTAGAACAAAGACTCTCTTTATCCCGCAAAAGAATATCTTTCTATTAGAAATATATCAATATGTTCCAAGGTAGATGCTAGAAATTTCCTTGAAGAAATTGTATTGACCTCTTCATAATGACAAAACAAAAAATGTGCAATACCCAGGACAAGGCCTCCCCCTCAGAAATAAGATAACTTTTTTAATTTGAGGAAAAGAACATGCTTATATTTGTATAATAACATAAATATAAAAATGACCATTCTAATGCATGTAATAATATATAATTTTTATAAAATTAAATCCAACCAAACAGGTTTGTGTTGAGCAGAGGGCTTAAGGCAGGGGTGTCAAAGATATGGGCTGCGGGCCGCATCCGGCCCATGCAGGGCTGCAATCCCGCCCAAGAACAGCTGACTCTGTGCTGCTTCCTGGTTCCAGTTTGTAACGTCGCAGCTCCTTTTCCTCAGTCTCTCCTATTTCCTGCTTCAAGAGGAGAGAAAGAAAGCCTTCCCCCCATTGGCTGAGGGCTCCTCCCCCTCCCCCTCTGGGGAGGGAGGGGGAGAAAGAGAGACACAGAGAGGTGAAAAAATGGCATCTCATGGGACTTTTCAGAAGACTAGGGAGGGAGCCAGCCAGCCAGCCAGCCAGAAAAAGAGAGCGAGTGAGTCCTGTGTTTAGACCCAAAAACATTTTATTCCAGGTATGGGGGGGAAGAGTCCTGTATTTAGATGCAAAAACGTTTTTTTCCAGGTATGGGGGGGGGGGAAGAATCCTGTGTTTTTTTGTTGAGCCAAAAACCTTTTTTGCAGGGGGGGGGGGGGGAGAGTCCTGTGTTTAAGACCAAAAACCATTTTATGCCAGGTATGAGAGAGACACAGAGACACAGAGAGAGAGACCATCCCATGGCACTTGGAGAGATCCCCCTTTCCATTTCTAACAGATGGGGACGAACCTAACAGCACAGCTTGCATTCCTTATTAGTGAAAGGGAGAAAGAGTACAGCAGCACCTTAATGACTAACAAAATTTGTGACAGGGCATGAGCTTTCATGAATCACTGCTCATTTCCTCAGATACAGCTGGAATGTGAGTCCATCTGTCCTTATATCTTGGAGAGTGAAGTGATTTCAGATGCCAAAAAACAAGAGCAGGCATTGGTAATTAGAGAAGAAACCTAGGTCTCAATTCAGTCCAGGAGTTTGCATTGTCTTGAGCTTCATGATCAGTTGCAATTCAGCAGTCTCTCTTGCTAATCTCCCTTTGAAATTCCTTTGTCAGAGAACTGCTACTCTTAGGTCAGCAACTAAATGCCCTAGAAGGTTAAAAAGTTCTCCCACTGGTTTTAGAATGTAGTGGTTTCTAATAGTGGTAGAAAGAGTAGAAGTCCAGTAGCACCTTTAAAGACTAACAAAATTGTAGTAGGGTATATGCTTTTGTGAGTCACTGCTCACTTCTTCAGACTTATTTCCATTTATTCTTTGCAACTTCCTGGACTGAATCTTCCTGTACCAAATTGAGACCTAGGTTTCCTGTCCCATTACCTCCCCACCTCTGTATATCATACCAATGGTGATATCTCCACCCCTCTGTATAGCACATGTAATCCAATCACACCTGCTATTGCCATCTGGCATCTGAAATCATCTTTATAAAGTTTATATCTCCGGTACCTTGTGTTACATTTTATAGCACACATGGCCCGGCCTGACAAAGTGATATTTATGCAAATGGATTTGATGAATGTGACTATGAGATATGGCTAGTGTGCTTGCCACATGAATTAATATTATATAGGTATTTCAACGCTACCCACTTTGATAAAGTTATACACAAAACGAGATGTAATATGCATGGTTCGTTGGTGTTGATGGCATTTTAACTGCTTCCAGTAAACTGAATATTGGAAAAAGTGATATTTATGTCAGATCTGGCCCTTGTAACAAATGAGTTCAACACCTCTGGTGTAGAGATATCAGAAGTACAATTCACAATGGTTAATAAATAATCTAGTTTACATGGACCTTTTTGTTTTAATAGGAATCTTTATTACTACCAACTACCAACTGTACTAGCAATTTTTAATCATTCCTAAGCAGTTTCCACTGAGTGTGCAATTAGAAACAATTCAGGAATCCAGAACTGTTTAACCATGATGGCACAAGTCTATAGAGTGAAGGCCTATCTTCTTCAAAATAATGAAGGGTGCGTTATGGATCACTTCCAGGTTTATTTCCCCAAAAGATATTCCTGTTGCTCCAGTGGGAACCTGGTCAGTTACCTGCATGATCTTCCCATTCTTTCCACGGTAGAGTGTATATAACTGGTAGGCTCTGAATTCATGTGGTGGTGGGGGCGATGCACAACGGTGTTTACTTCTGCGTTTGGGTAAATTCTGCTGTGGGCCAGGAGGCATCTGCTGGTCAGCTGGTGATGTGGGATCTGAGTGGGCTGAAACCTGTAGTCCATAACAAGATATAATTATATTTTTAAAGTCTATGAGAAAAGTCCACATACTTCACAACTAGATATATTTGCATCAAATTAAGTTAAAATGCTGGCTTTTTACTTCTATCATGCAACCCATCACATCCTCAAAAAATTATTTGAATGGTGATTTGAACCAGAATGTGGCAAGCTGTGACTGAAACCTGAGCCAAGACATTTACAAGACCAAAACCAACTGGTCTTGTAAGCCCGTGTTGTTTATACTGACTTTGATGCATATAAAAAAACAGGTTGCTTACCTGTAACTGATGATCTTCGAGTGGTCATCTGTGCATTCACACCCATGGGATCTAGTGCGCATGCGCTGGATCGATCGGCATTGTAGCAAGCTCTTTAATGGATTTTCGCACCCAGTCCCTCGGGCATGCGCAGGAACCCCACCGTGCATGCCCAGGGGGTGGGCACCGACATCCCGCCAGTTCCTTCGAACCGCCGCAAATCAACCCCTATTGAAAATGTAGAAGCTGACAGCAGCGGGGAAGGAGGGCGGGTGGTGTGAATGCACAGATGACCACTCGAAGATCATCAGTTACAGGTAAGCAACCTGTTTATCTTCGACGTGGTCTCTTTGCTTCACACCCATGGGAGAAACTGAGGAAAAAATCCAAAGAGCCGTGAGGCAAAAAGCCAAAATATGCGAATCAATCAGACCGACAAAGAAAAAGGCCTTTCCAACGCGGTGGTAAGAAAGGAACTGGAGGGATGTCCGCGCCCACACCTCTGGGCATGCGCGGTGGGGTTCCTGCACATGCCTGAGGGACTGGGCACGAAAATCCGTTAAAGAGCTTGCTACAATGCCGATCGATCCAGCGCGTGCACACTAGATCCCATGGGTGTGAAGCACAGAGAACAGGTCGAAGATCCAGTCCTTTCTTGAACTGATCCTCATGAATGTTTACTGGGACTCCATGTCTCTCACTGGAGCCAACAACAGCAGGCAAAGGTGACAAACCTACCCTTGATGGAAGAAGAAGGAAAGAACTGGGTGTTGTAAAAACTGTCTCCTCTGTCACTTTACTGTTACCTTTTCTCTCAGTTTCTTCTTTTTATTCTTCGTCCCTTTGAGCTCTGACAAAGGCAGCTGGGCTTCATCTTTCAAGTCACATATCCCTTGAGGGACCTGGTAACTGCTGTGAGTGTCATCTCCAGCTGAGGCACTGGCCTGTTTCAATATAAAACACCCATGACCAGAGATGAAATGGATTCAGAACTTTGCTCTCAGATAGCTTCTTATGTTCAAGAGCATGGCCGACTACAATATTCTCCAGTAGTAATATTTTGTTCAGGTTTCTCCTGCACAGTGACTCAAAAGGTCAATTTCCCACAGCAGATTCAAACAGTTTCAAGAGGGCTTTGCTGAAATGATGCTACATTCCTTGCCTTCTAAGTGAAACTGGGCAAAACTTGGCTTTACCTTGCTCTGAACCACTTCATCTCTTGGTACTGACTGAGCTCGCCTTTCTTCTTTGAGTCTTTCCCTCTTCTTCCTCAAACTCCTTCCACGATTAAAACGTGAAACCTGCATAAGGGAACATTTCCACCATTATGATCTAGTCATCCCAGTCCTGTTACAGAAAGGAAAGTTCTTCTGGGGGAAGCAACAGAAAGGCAAAATTCTACCTAAGACAGAAAACAGAATTCTCAAACCAGCTTGTAGTAAAAACTACCGAAGACTTGAGATAGATACAGGCTGATTTCTTCAGTAAAAATAAATTAAAATTCCCCTCTGAAAAAGAAATATTAACTCTAATACATATAGAGTACAACTGCATGGGACCAGACAAAAGAAAAGAATCTGGTCTGTAAATGGGCACTCATTAGAGCAGGTTTCCTGCTTTAAATACTTAGGTATGGTCCTTCAATCAAATGGGGCTAGGAAAGCCCACATACAGTATGTTGCCTCCCAAGGTGAAAGAACAGCCAATGCTATTCTTAAGTTCTATCGCACCAAAGGGACTTATTATGTGCCAGCTGCCCAAAAACTCTTTCAAGCAAAGGCAGTTGGACAGGTGCTCTATGGCACTTTTATTGGGCCTCCTTCCTCTAATTTTACCCCCTTAGAGCGAGTTCAAATTTCTCAGAGCAGTTCTTCAGGTCCCAAGGTGTGTATCGAATACACTGATCCGTCTAGAGACAGGTGCTATATCAGTGGAAGCCAAAATTACCTTAGCTTCACTCCAGTATTGGCTTAAACTAAATTTCCATCCTCAGGGACTAACCCACTTGTTACTCTCAGACAACTTTCACTCCAAATGGCTGAGAGCAGTTCATAATAAATTATATGAGCTTGGTTTTTCCCACCAAGCGATTTTGGGTATGCATTGGGATGTAGCAAGATCAGCCCTAAAACAGAGAATGATGGACATGGAGAGACAGACAGATCTCGGTAGATGTCCTAAGTTTAGAGCCCCAGATTCTGTCAAATATCGCTTGCAACCCATGTCCTATTTATCACAGCTTGATACTCACAAGTGTGGGAAAACCTTCACATTAGCCAGATGTGAGGCTTTCCCCTCCGCGATGCTTGAGGGCAGATTCAAAAGGATCCCCACTGAATATAGACTTTGTCGATGTGGCTCAGGAGAGACAGAAACTATTGAGCACATGATGCTCAGATGTAACTGGTATAACAACATCCGTGACAAATATATTACTCCTTTTATAGCAGATATGGTGGGACAATCAGGTGCTGAGCAATGTAACCGATTGTTAATTGATGGGAACCGGACAATTACCGAAACTGTGGCAAAACTTTGGGTAGCATGCTACTGCATCCGAAATACACGATCAAATATATAATAATAGTTGCCTAATAGTCTCTGTTTTATGTTCTTCTTTTACTTTATTACGCTCAACTGTATTTTTATAGAGTTTTATTTTACTGTCCTAAATTCAATTATATGAATGTTATGAATGTTATATTTAAGCATGTGTGTTCTATGGCTTGTTGCCGTAATAAATGCCTGCCTGACTGACTGCCTGACTGACTGAGTACAACTGCCTTCAAAGAAAGAACGAAGCATCTTAAACTGAGTTATCAACAAGCCTATCATGGACAATACCACACCATCAATTTAACGTATGTGTGAGGGACAAATATAGGGTATTTCTGTAAAACAAAGCTTCTGAAATGAGACATTAATGAACTATATTTGTGATGTACCTGTGGAGCCTTGGTGAGCAGAAGGGCAACCTCAGGGTTGTTGTGTTCTCTGGCAGCCTCTAGTGGGGTCAGACCAGCCTGTTAACGGGGAAGACTACATGATACTCTCTTCAAAAGACATTAAAAATGTCACTGCACATTTAAGACTTTTACTTTTGCTTTTACGTACATGCCATAAGTACATGGTCTTAGATGCTTGCGGGGGGGGGGTCAAAGCATCATTTCAGTCTTTTCAACCATCATTTAATTAAAAAATAACTACAAATGGTGAGGAAAAATGTTAAATGCTTACGTTGTTAACAATTGTCCCATCAGCTCCTGCTTCCAACAAGAGTTTGACCACCTTTTTGTGATTTAGTGCAGCAGCTACATGAAGGGCTGTATCACCGGCCTGTAAGTCACAAAACCAAGATGCAACTTGCACTTTAAGATTTTCACATACAGAACATCCTGTGTCATGCAGGTGGAAAATGTAGATGCATGTCATATTTCCATATTTGGGATGCATTAGGCAGGCAGGTTCTCCCTCCTGAGTTTTAGTTTTTATGGTATCAGTACGTATGTGTGCAGCCTGTCAATTTATTCCTGTGGTGTTTTCTGCTTTTCTGACCAAAGGCCCAAGGATATTGCTTTCAGGAACAGCTGGTGTAAATGGGATATACATCAAAATGTAAATCTGAACGTGGGTACTGTCTTTTGCTTTCAATTGCATGAACATCAGAATGTACATCTAAATCCATGTGGTCTTTGGATTTCAAGGGGATGCACACCTCCAATCTTAAATCTTCAGCTATTTGGCATAAAAAAAAAGCTTGCACATCCAGTGTCTGGTCATTTTTTTCACCCACTGAAAAGAAAATTTGACAGCAAATGTATTCAGGATAATGATCTGTGCTACCAGAACTGCATTATATCCATCAGAAATCATATCTGCAAGACTATATAACTTTCCTAACTGTTATGCAGTATGAATCAGATGGAATAAAATATTCAAAATAGATTCAATGGAGGCAACAGCTACTTTTTTGTACAAGCGTCAAAAATCTAGCTTCACCCAATGTTCAATGGAATGCTGAACACAAGCAATATATTTCTATTGAGTTCATAACAAATGAGCTTCAATCAGAGCTGCTCAAAAGAAAGAGATCACCAAGAGCAGCCTAAATTTTTAATACCATGATGGAACATATCAGCCATTCCTCAAGTCTCCCTCATGATATTCAGTGAAATATGATATTCCATCAATAGCAGGATAGGCTGATTGTGTTACTGTGCAAACGTTTATCATTACCAAGTTTAACCTTTAAAACCAGTAATTTTGTATTGTGTCTTTCATATCAAGTTTCTGTTTCGTATGCCCTCTCCAGACCGCTACTGGAAGGGAAAGCAAACAGTTTGAAAGTACTAAGTTGACAGATTCACATACAAGCACCCATTTAAACAAGGGTAGGTCAAGAAAGGAATTCAGCCTCTAAATTGCATGTTGCACCTTATCTGTACTATAGAATGTCGCAGTTTTCCTACAACAGCACAACATTGCTTTATGGCACTGGAATGAGCGTGCCAATATGCGGCATCAAATGGCTTAATTTACTGGAGCCACAAGTTTTGGCATTGGGCTGTTCCTCATGGTTCCACATCCTTGCTTATGTACTACCAAGTCAGTATGCAGAGCTGGGAAGATATCTGATTATTTGGTGCTTTGTTTCAGAACAAAGCTGGATGGTGAAAACACGTTTATTGTTTATGTCTAATTTAATTGTAATCAGTCGGGCAGCTTTCACATTGCACACTGAAAATTCTCCTAAAAAGTCTAAAAGCAAGGAATGAAAATGCAGTGATGGACTCTGATAACGACAAACCAAAGATACAGCATTTCTGTAAGGCTCTGTTAACACCAGAGCGACAGCTGCAATGCAATACACCAATATACTGATACGGTTAAGAGCCTTCTGCATGGACAAGAATGCAGCGGCCCCATCCTCCATTCCAAATATGGGAAACAGGAAGCCTTATAGAAAAGGGGGCATAATGGATAATGAAGTTCATGCACTGACCTGATTCTTTTCATGGACCGAACAGAAAGCACTGAGGAGCACCCTAATGATGGGTAAGTGATTATAACGTGCTGCAACATGCAAACAGGTATCTCCTGCCTGAAAAGTGGGGGGAAATGCAATTACAATAAGAAAATGTGTTGCTGAGTCAACTAAGATGGTGGTTACCACTTTAACCAAAGCAAAAGGGTCAGGCTGGAGCAATCCTCAGATGCCCCCGCCCCAGATGCCCGTTCCCCGACGCCGGGGAATCGGGCCCCGGGGGGGAACCCCGCCCCAGCGTGCGCGTCACAGGGAAGTGACGTTATGACGCCAGGCACGCTGGGGGCGGGGCCACGGCCATACAAGGGAAAACTCTATGGTTTTCCCTTGTATGGTCATGGCCCCGCCCCCAGCGTGCCCGGCGTCATAACATCACTTCCCTGTGACGTGCATGCGGCGCGCGCACCGGAAGCCACCCAGGAGCCCCCCGCTGGCAAGGTAAGTCCGACTTGGCAACCATACCTCAGAGAGTGTCACTACTGACTTCTCAGCCTTCCTCAATTAGCCTGAACAGTTTATTTACATAGCTCTGTCTGACTTTTTTCCCTTAACACATCACAGATTTTACAGGTTAGTGGCTGTGATACAGTGGCTCTACAATAGTATTTTGCTTAGGCATATGAGACATTTTAGGCTGCAATGCTGAAATCCTTTGCTTAGCAGTAGCTTTTCTGGTTCACCACAATGTTACAGTAAGCAGTTTTGTGATCATGGCACTGGTTCTGTTAAATATACAGTATACTTTAAACCTCCTTAAATATGCAGTATACTTTAAACCTCCAACAAGCCCTAATTATTTCTTTTCATAAAAGTTCGATAGTTCATTAAGTTGAATAAGCAATACAAAGGACTTAACCATTTGATTCAGCTTCTCTCGATGTTGGTCCATTAATTTCATGAGACAGCATGGTACTAATATTATTTCTGCAACCAGATGGTTGGTCCAAAATAACACTGCTGATTATGACATAGCTTGGCCAAATGTAGGGATTGGTTGAGACAACTATCTTTGTTATTACATTGCTTCTAATTTTTAGATAATTCAAAATTAGCATTATGGGTTGGTATAATACGATTGTTTGGTTCAACTGCTGATCTTTTGCAAAAGTATCTAATACATTTAAATAAATGGGGGAAAAATGCCATAAAGTAGCATAGCAGTCAGTATGCTTATGCCCTCCTACCTTTGTGTTGGATGGTGGCTCTCTCTCTCATATCTCTCCTTATATATAATGCTGTTTTGGGGTGAACGTTCCACACACTCCCACAGCATTTGGATCGCTGACCTGTCACTCCAATGGTGTGCCAATCCAGTGGCTGCATTGCTGGAGTCCCACCCACAGAAGGGGCGGCCAGCGTCTCGGCCTCAGTGTCGTGCAAGGTCTCTCCAAGGTGGGGGGCAGAAGCCAACCCTGCTCAGCCCAGAGAGACAAAGGCTTCAAGTACGCACAGGCCGGTCTGCGCACTTGAAGCCTTTGTCTCTCTGGGCTGAGCAGGGTTGGCTTCTGCCCCCCACCTTGGAGAGACCTTGCACGACACTGAGGCCGAGACGCTGGTCGACCCTTCTGTGGGTGGGACTCCAGCAACGCAGAGCAGCAGAAGCCCGACGGCCACCAACGCACACCCAGGAACGTGTGGCTGGAGAGCAAGAGGCAGTGGCAGCCCTCTCAACCACAGGGGACCGCCAGAATATGTGCCGGGTCACGCCGCTTGCCTCTTTGCAAGACCTCCTGGAGGCAGCGGTGCTTGCGGCAGCAGCACCCTGCCTTCCCTGCGCCTGGCCCTGGCGTGGTCTCTCCAAGGCGGAGGGCGGGAGCCAACCAGTGTTCCCTCTAAGCTGAGTTAGTGTGAGCTAGCTCACAGGTTTTTAGCCTCCGACTCACACATTTCTGTCTTAGCTCAGGAAGGATGGCTCCAGAGCAAACTGATATATGCAGCAGCCAAATCGCTCGCTCACAACTTTAATGCCAGCAGCTCACAAACGAGAATTTTTGCTCACAAGACTCCACAGCTTAGAGGGAACATTGGAGCCAACCCTGCTCAGCCCGGAGAGACACAGGATCCAAGCGTGCGGGCTAGCCCAAGCACATATCACTGGTGCAACAGAAGCCTGGCAACCGCCTACGTATCCCTGGGAACATGCGGCCCGAGAGCAAGAGGCAGCAGTGGCTCTCTGAACGACAGAGGGGTGCCAGAATACGTGCCGGGTAACGCCGCTCGCCTCTTTGCCGTAGCTCGCTTGGAGGAAACCAAGACCACCTGGAGGCGGAGGCGGCTCCACACGCCTGCTGTGGAGGGGGCCCTCTTTCTAGAGCTCGTTGTATTGCTTTTATACAACAGGCTTTTCTCCTAGTATATTATATATATATCGTATTTAGTAACAGATACAGCGTTCCGTACGCCTTGGTGTTTAGTCATGCCGGCTACATGACCACGGAAATGTTTTCGGACAGCGCTGGCTCTTTGGCTTTAAAACGGAGATGAGCACCGCAACCCTAGAGTCGGATTCGACTGGCTTTCTAGCAAGGGAACCTTTACATTTACTTTACATTTAATAAAAATGGGGGAAAGAGGTTTACATATTCTATACAATTCTTAACCATTTCAGGAAATTTATCTTTTCTGAATATAATAGCTGCTACTCAGACAACAAAGACAAACTTCCTTCAAATTCACCTTCAGTAATTTGGTTATTTCTGGTAACTGCTGCTAGCTTTATCTATGCAGAAAATTCTAACCTGTTTTATTTTCATCAATCTAGATGCCATAGTTTTTTAATACTCACATTGTTTTTGATATCTGCCCGAGAGCCTCCAAGCAGCAAAACCCGAACACTTTGCGAATGACTGTTTTGGCAAGCCAAGTGCAATGGTGTATTGCCTGCCTTAGGAAAGAGAAGGTAAAACACACATAAACTTTAGTAAGGACACAAAATGAATAAAGGACCCTAACTGCATTACATTCCTTCTGTAATTCCGCACATTATATATGTCCTATAATCTCTATGACAAAATGAATCCTAAATGTAAAATAAATTACCAATATTTTCTGCCAAGTTATACACATACGCCATTTGTTTTGCAATCCTATTTACAAGGCTCTACTGAAAGCCTACTAAGCACATGTACAAATTTTGCTGTATGCTAATTCACAAAGTATGACCAAATGTTTGAGTATAAACTAATGAGACAGCTGGCCCCCCTACCAGAATCCATTCAATTAGAATTTTGATTCAAAACCCAATAACAAAAAATAAAAGGAAAACTGTATGCAGCACAGGATAAGACCAGAGTTTAACAAAAGGATAGTTTGTAAAAAGAAGATTTGTTTCTTATGTTTACTTGTTGGTTCTTTGGTCATTTAAAAAAAAATTATTGTCTTTTCATTGGGAAAGGTCTTAACACTTCTTTTGGAAGACAAAATGGCTTGGAACCAGTAATCTGTCTACAGAAGGAGAGGGAAGTGCAGCAACAAAGTCCAATTCAGCCCTCAGACAGATGTCAGATTCCACTAGGGTTGCCAAATCCACTTACCCCTCGGAGTGGGGGAGCCTCGGCGGTGTCCGGGAGTTTGTTTTGGGCGCGCACGCCGGCAGGACGTCACCAGGCTGACGTTGGGGGTGTGGCCGAGCTCGTCAGGGGGAAAACCATATGGGTTCCCCCCCCCGGCGAGCCCAGCCACGCCCCCAACGTCAGCAACGTGGCTGCGTCACCGGAGGGGGTGGGGTTCCCCCCAGGCCCCGATTCCGCCGGGGCGGAAATCGGGGCTCCGAAGCGGGGGATTCCCCGCCCCCCGGGCCCATTTGGCAACCCTAGATTCCACAGGGACAAACAATCATGTGGGTTAGGCAGCTAAAGTAAGGACAGGGAAGGAAACAAAGGCCCTTTCTGCACTGGGTTATTCCCCGCTGTTGTGCTTCACAGTATATTTTTTGTTCTGCATTGCCTCCCGGTTTCAACTCACAGTATATTTTTAATTCTGCATTGCCTACAGGTTTCGCTCTGCATTTCCACTAGGTTATTTTTAAATTCTGCATTGCTCAGCTCTCAGTTCGGTTTCCATCTGCTCTTTCCCCAGATTTTCTGAATGCTGTTTTGCCATGGACGTCCCCCTCCCCCGCCTCCACACTGGAGTAATTTGAATATAGAAACATTTCTTCGGATTTCCTCCCCTCGCCCCTTTTCTGGCCCCCTCGAAGGCCACTCCTCTGCCCACCCCCTTCTGTGTCCTCCTGGGGAGTCCTTTGTTTTGCTTTCAATTGAAAATATTGCATGGGCAAGATTCATGGTTTGAATGGGGAAGAAACCTCAAGGGAGAAGAGGGCTTTTTCTCAAGAGTTTCCCCAAAGACTTTCATGTTTGCAAGCATCAGGACTGTCATGATCTGGGCTGTGCCACCAGAGGCCTACTAGGCCCAGATAGCCTGGCTAGCAGTAGGTGAGGCTGGGCCTACAACTCCCAGAAGCCCCTGAGAGGTTTTGGAGCCAAAATTGACCAATAGGAAAAGAGGAGGGCTTGGAATAAAAGATCTGGTGCAGCAGGAAAAGCTGTTCTTCCCAGGAGACAGAGCCAGAAGGGACTGAGGCTGCTGTGGGGAAGACCCTCATCCTGAGGGAAGGGTGAGTAGTCTAGTGTCACTTGGAATAGTGAGCTAAGGACAGTATATATTTCGACGCGTTAGGGCATTTGATTTCTTTTCTTTTCACCCACTTACTGTTATATTTCTGCACCTTGTTTGTTTGACCTTTTATAAAATAAACTATTTTTATTGTTCACTCTACCTTGTCCTCATGCCTATTATTCGGCCAAAAGGGAGGTCTAAAGGCCTGGGAAAGTGCTCTGGGCCTTCTCAGAGGAGCCTAGAACCAGAGTGGTGGCAGCGTCAAGTGACACCCCACCTGAGCCGTGACAGGGACAAAAGCCAAAAGGCTCTTGGTATTCTGTAAAATGGCCAAGGCTCTGAGTTCGCCTCTGCCAGTTGCACCCAGTGTAGGGAGGCAGTCAGCATCAGGGTTGGGCTTAAATCTTTTTTCTTTTTTTTAATTCACTTTTGGCGGGAAAGCAGGGGTAGATTTCGAGGGGGGGGCTTTCCAAAGATGGGTTCGCCACACCAGCAATGCCAGTTCCCACTGCTGAGAGCTGCTATCTGCCCCACACACACATACATATGGTTCGATACAGAGTTGGAGGCATAAGGAGAAAGGGAGAGAAATATCTGCTTTTTATTGGACTCCTTCCTGCAAGCTGAAAAACTCTGCTCTCTGCAAGTGTTTCTTCTGGCAAGATTTCTCTCCCACCCTGCCCCTTGGAGGAACCACATCCCCACCAGTTCCAGCCATGATTCCACAATCACTGCCATGGTAGATGCTGCCGCTGAAGCACAAACTGACCGACAGACCAGCCAACCGCCGATCTCGCATCACTCTATGGGTTACCCATGCCCAGAGTAGCCCAGTGGCGTTGAGCCAAAGGAGCTGGGAAACTGAGGAGGAGAGGAGAGAAAGGGGAGAGTGTGGTGTGCCCCATCTCTTGTGCATGCACTCAGCCAAGTCAGTGGCAATTCAACACCCCCCCACACACACAGGTCACAAGTGATGTTAAGCACAATTAAGCAAAAAATGTGGGGTTTGGTTGTAGATGCAGAATGCATAATAGAATACACAAAAAATAAATTGGAGATAAAGGAATAGTGCAGAGGGCAGGCACACAAAATATGAAGTCAACCTTTAAAGGCTCAACTGCTCAAATTCTCTGCAGTAAACTACAATGAGCCGTGAGTGCAGAAAGGGCCAACATCTCTGCCTCCCCCCTCTGTACTTGGAGGAGGAAGAAGTGGGTAATTGAATTCTCCTCTTCCCTCTCCCTCCCAATCACCATAACTATTCCTCCACCTTCACACGATCCCTATGACCACAGAAATTATCTTTCTGAGGGTCAGCAGGGACCAGTGGATGGAAAGGACTGTGGTGAAAATGAACTCTCCTTTCACAAATAGGTCACTGGATCAGAGTCATACTCCTGTTCTTTCCCCCCTTTCTTCCACTTCTCCTTTTAGGAGTTTCCTCACAATATAATCCAGAACACAGAATTTAAAAATTACAAGTTTCCAAAAAGGTTTTAACAAAATCTTGTCCTTCTAGTTGAAGTGTTAAACATTTCTTTTCTATTCATTTGGCTTTCTTATTTCTGATAAAATGGATTTTTATTACCATTTTTCTTGTTAACCTGATTGGTTTTCCTACACCAGTTGCAATGAATCCCTTTCCATACTAATAAGGATGCCAGAGGAACTCCTAGTGCTCTTTAGCCATACTTAGGTCCCTGCCACACGGCAGGGAAACCACGAGGCAAAGCGCGGCTAAATAGAGCCGATCCAACGTTGAGACGCTGTGGCAGGATCCCACGGATCCCCTGGCCGCGGCGCCTCTTTTCCCTGGCTGCTCCCCAGCACGATCAGATGCCGGGGAGGAAGCCACGGTCGGGAGGGGGAGGCTGCCGAACTGCGCATGTGTGAGCATGCGCAGTTTGGCCAGAAGCCGGGGATGCGCCGGCAGAAGGACACACCGGCGATCCCACGGCCGCGCTTGCCCCGGCCGTTCCGGTAAGACCTCCTTTGGAGGTGGTGTATTTTTGATGCAGGTTTTCGGCCGGAAGGGCTGGATCGGGGACGGGTGCGCAACGTTTCCCAGATTTTGTGGTGGGATCGTGCCCGTTTGTTGCGCCCCCGATCCGTCCCTCTCCCGGCCCAAAACCTTTCGTGTGACTGGGGCCTTAATGAAACATTCAGTGTTCCTGAACTCTTTCTGTGTCAGCTGTCAAAACACAAAAATTTCCCATATGGAAATTTCCTCATGATGGAATGATCAAGGCACACTTAATTAAAAGGAAATTCAAAGTCCTGCCACAAACATCACTGTCACTTGTCAAAAAATGTCACTGCTGGAAACTACTCATGAGAAGTAACTAAGGTTTTAAAATGTATTCTTTTTTTAGCAGCAGAACCTGAAATCTTCTTTTTGTACATGCATCTCACCTTGTTTCTGGCAAGAACATTAGCTCCTGCTTTAACAAGCAGTTTGGCGGACTGACTGAATCCATGCCAAGAGGCTTCATGGAGAGCTGTGTTCCCATCCTGAAGAACAAGCATAGAAAAACTTAAAGTACTGTGTCTATTAGTGATTTATCACATTTTAAGATTTTTTAACACTCTAGCTGGTTACTGTGTTTCTATGAAGAACAACACTGCATATTTCTAGACTGCAGTAGACATTCTACACTTCCTTCAACCAAGAAATAAAAACCTTGCTGTGCTTACTATGTCAGCATTTAAGTGCAGGGTTTTAAGAGAAACAAGAAAAGCAGTTACTCCATAGACATTCCTGTTCTTTAAACAAATAACGAGAGACCTTCTGATTAGAGATGTAAAGGCCTGCGGAGGGAAAAGGAAAAATTTGAGAGGGAAGGGTTTTTTCTCCCCTAGACTGATAGTGAAAGAATTGAAAAGTCCTGGGGGAAACAAACCTTTTATTATTGTTTTTTTTCTTTTGGAATGAATGAAATGTTTGTCAACAGTCTTTTCTATACTTAATGTCAAGGTCCATTCCTAACTAGGGTTTTAAACTGGTTACAAATCTTGGTTAAGCATGAACCCTGGTTAATGTTAAATGTGGTCGACACCAGTGCCAACACAATCCTGACTCGTAGCTGTAATTTTTAGCTTCTTTTCTCTGATCCCTTATAAGGGACACCTGTAATGGCCCCTCTCTGAAGTGTTCTGAGGTGTCAAGTTTTGTTAGGGTTGCCAGCCTCCAGGTGGGATCTGGAGATCTCCCACTATTACAGTTGATCTCCAGACTACCAAGATCAGGCCCCCCAGAAAAAAAATGGCTCCTTCAGAGGGTGGACTCTAGGACATTACACCCCGCTGAGGTCCTTCCATGCCCCAAGCCCTGCCCTATCCAGGCCCCACTCCTAAAATCTCCAGGTATTCCCCAACTTAGAGCTGGCAACCCTAGGTGTTGTGCTTAGGGCTGCCAAGTGGAGGCAGGGAGCGGGGAAACCCCCGCTTTGGAGGCCCGATTGCCGCCGCCGCGGAATCGGGCCCCGGGGGGAACTCCGCCCCCCGAAGCACAGTGTGGCTGTGTCACAGGAAGTGATGCACCCACATTGCTCACGTTGGGGGTGTGGCCCAGATCGTCGGAGGGAAAACTCTATGGTTTTCCCTCCAACAATCTGGGCCACGCCCTCAACGTGAGTGAAGTAGCACGTCACTTCTTGTGATATGCTGGCGGTGCACACACAAAGCGCGTGCGCACACCGCCGAGGAGCTCCCGGAGCCCGAAGAGCCTCCCCCGCCGCCAAGGTAAGAAGACTTGGCAACCATAGTTGTGCTGCCTCCTCCCCACCTTAATGCTTTTTTATTTATTTTAGCTGCTGCCAAAGGCTCTCGACTTAGACTTCTTAGCTGAACCCAAAGTACAGGATGGCTTAGATATATTTCACAGAATGACAGAAACGTCAGCGCGTGGGGGTGGCTCAGGGGTAAAAGGGAATCCTTTAAATACAGCAGCTATTTTCTCCTAAACATAAATATAGTTTATTTAGAAGTATAACATAATAATTTCAGTATAGTTCATAATCGTAATAATTTCAGATAGGTACAGTTCTCCTCCATTCTCAAAAGTTCCTTAAACAGACCTAGCCCCTAAGACTTATTTTCTTCACTTGCCACTTACAGGGCCAACTTATCCACAGGCACAGTAGACACAGTGCCTAGGGCCCATTATACTTTTAGGTAAAGGTAAAGGATTCCCTTGCTCGAAAGCTAGTCAAATCTGACTCTAGGGGGGCGGTGTTCAAATCCATTTCCAAGCCGAAGAGCCAGAGCTGTCCGAAGACTTCTCTGTTGTCATGTGACCAGCATGACTAAACGCTGAGGCGCACGAAACGCTGTTACCTTCCCACCAAAGCGGTACCTATTTATCTACTTGCAGTTTCTTGCTGTCGAACTGCTAGGTTGGCAGGAGCTGGGGCCAGAGACAGGAGTTCACTCTGTCATGTGGCATTAGGGTCTCGAACTGCCAAACTACAGACCTTCCATCTTAACCTCTGAGCCACCACAGCCCCACCCTTATACTTTTAAGGGCCCACAGAAATGTTTTAATTTTTTTCTCACCGCAGAAAAAAAATGAAATTTCAGAGCCCACAAAACTCTATTAAATTTTGCCTGAAACAGAAAAAAATAAAAATGTTGAAATATTTAAAGTTTTATCAAAAATAATTTTAATATTGATATTATTATGGTGGGAGGGCCCCAAGTTGGGTTGCCATTTGCTCAGTGGGGGTGGGGGATCCCCAATTTTGTGGGCTCTTGCCCAGCACCAGCCAGCAGGCCAGCAGGAGGGAATCCCCACACACACAGCAATGTCGCACGTGACATACCTGCATCACCCAGAAGTGATGTCGGCACATCAGGTGGGGTGACACTCTGGTTTTGGGGCAAAACTCTATGATTTGATGCCAATTTCACCACAGAGTTTTGCCCAAAATCCAGAGCGTTGCCCCAGCGTCACTGACGTGCTAACGTCACTTCCAGGTGATGCAGACATGTTGCAAGCAATGTCATTGTTTCAAGGGGAACTGGGGACAACGTCAGTTTTCACTCCTGGAATGTCCACTCCATCCCCCCGCTGGCAGACGAAAGGACCTGTCAACCCTAGGCCTACGAAGGCAAAAGTACCTAGGGCCCACAAAAGTCATAACGTGGCCCTGGCCACTTAGGCTAATAACTTAAAGAGCACAGATTTCTCTTACTTTCCACAGCACCTCACAATCTCTTCACCCACTCAACACTTTTCCTCCTCTCCCTCAAAGAAACCTTCTGAACAAACCAGTCAACTCTACCCCCCTAGGGTACAGCTACCATCCAATAATAACACATTTCATTCACCCATCGAGGCACCCTTTCTTACTCTAGAGGCCTGCATTTTAAAACACAGCAACACACATATAAAACCCCCACATTAAAACACAGAAATAAATATTTACATAGTGAAACATCACAATAGCTAAGCCCCAAAAGGCAGTGCTGTGGCTTGATCATAATCTCTTAACCATGGCTAAGCAAAACCACAACCCAACCAGCTGTAAATGGTTGCCTCCAAACAACATGGTGATCAGCTGAGAATAACCAATACTGAGCTAAAAAGCAACACGTTTGGTCATCTTGCACAATATGTAAAAATAAAAGCCTACAGCCACTCAAATACTGCTAATAATAATGTCACTATCAAAGCTTCACCAATGGATTATGGAAGTACAAAGGGAAAACCCACAAGGACATGTGGGAGGCATCTCATTTCCCCCCTACTCCACCATTTCCTCATTCCCTTTCCTGAAAGCCCCCATAGCCTCTCCTCTTTTCCTGCTTCCTTCTCTCCTTCTAGGGTTGCCATCCTCCATCTACCCCCAGGTAGCATTGCCAGCTCCAAGTTGGGAAATTCCTGGAGGTTTGGGGATGCAGCCCTGGGAGGGTGAGGTTTTGGGAAGAGGACAGATCTCAGCAGGGTATAATGCCTTAGAATCCACCGTCCAAACCAGCCATTTTCTACAGGGGAACTGATCTCTGTCATATGACGAGCAGTTGTAATTCTGGGTGATTTTCAGCCCCCACCTGGAGGTTGGCAACCCTAGTTACCCTCGAGAAAATGGCTGCTTTGGAGGGTGGAGTCAATGGCATTATACCCTTGTGAGGCCTTCCGCTCTTCAAATCCAACTCTCTCCAGGCTCCAATCTCCAGGTATTTCCTAACCTGGAGTTGGCCACCCTATCTCCTTCCCACCCAACAGCCAACCTACTTTTATCTAGGATTACCAGCCTCCAGGTGGGGCCTGGGAATCTCTCTCTATTACAACTGATCTCCAGCTGACAGAGATCAGCTCCCCTGAAGAAAATGGCTGTTTTGAATGGTGGACTCCATAGCCTTGTACCATGCTGAGGCCCCTCCCCTCACCAAACCCTGCCCTCTCCTGGATCCACCCCCAAAGCCTCCAGGTATTTTCCAACCAAGACCTGGCCACCTTACTTTTATCTGACCCTCTGTCGTAAGCTTTCCCTCCCCACCTCCCCAGTAGCCTCTACCTATGAAAACTGTGGTCCAGGATACCAGCCACTTGCATTGTAGGGAACCCTCAAGGGCTTGTGGGGTGGCACCTCACCCTGTATCCCCCTCCCCACAATATTTCATCTTTCCCTCCTCCTGGCAACCGCCATATCCTCTCCCTGTCTCCTTCTGTCCTTCTCAGCCATTCACCAACCTACCTTTTATCTGCCTCCATCCTCAGCCATATTTATTATTTATCTGCTTCATTTGTAGCCAATTCTCTTCTCCTTTTTATCTGTACAACAGCCCTGTAAGGTAGTTTAGGCTGAAAGTATGTGACTGTTCCATAATCACCCAGTCAGCTTCTTCAGCAAGATGGGGATTTGAACCTGGATCTCCATTCTGAAGCTCTAACTGCTACATTACACTGGCTTTCATAGGGTGGCTGCTGTTGAACAGTAGCAAGCAGCCAGGACTAGATGAGTCATGAAAGTCAGGTGGTATCAAGGCACCCAGAGAGTGCTTCCAGGCCTAAGATTGCCAACCTCCAGGTGGAGCCTGGAGATCTCCCAGAATTATAGCTGAACTCCAGATGACAGAGATCTGTCCCACTGAAGAAAATGACTGCTTTGGTAATATATTTGGCTGAGGCCTCTCCCCTCCCCAAACCCTCCCCTCCCCAGACTCTACCCCCCCTAATATCCAGGAATTTCCCAACCTGGAGCTGGCAACCATAGCCAGGCCTGGCCCCAATGAGTCTTCCCTCTAAGGCCCTGCCCCTTCCCTCTGCCTTTTACTCACAGAAACTGCAATGCTGTCGTTACCTAGCAACAGCCACTGAGGGAATCCATTTTTTTAAATCTATAGGCACTCCTTTTATCATTTTCATTTTTCTAAACCCCTCCCATTGTATTTTTTTTTAGATTTCACATTTTTCTGCAAACCTGGGGCCCTTTTCAGGTTTGTAGAACGATCTGTCTTACCTGTTCACAGCACAAGTCACCAAATTTAGTATCCACAGATTTGGCCAACTTTGCTATTAGTATACAGACCAATGGGGGCCCCATGAGACTCACAGGGGAGATTCTCATCCTCCCCTTTCTTGCTGGACCCAGCATTGTCCTCAGACTTGCTGGCAGGCACTATCCAGCCCGGCGCAGCCTCTTGGCTGCTTCACCATTGCTGAGCCCACCACGGCCCCCAGGCTCCACAATGCTCAGGTATTTTACTTTGAGGGAAATTAAAAAACCCTTATGTATTTTTCGAAGATTTTGGATTTTTCTGCAAACTGGGGGTGGGGGTATAACCCAAGTTTGTAGAAAAATCTGTTTGGGGTAAGCATGGCCCCAATCTGCAGATTTAAGCCACACTTGAGAAACAGATATATAGATATTTCAAGGGATGTTAGTCAGTGACTTTAAAAAATAATATTTTAAACTATTTACATTTCCTCTATAAACGCACCCCAAATAGCCTACTTTTGAGACAACAGCCGGGGGGGGGGATAGTTTTGTACATTTTCCCTTTACCTTGTCTTGTCTGTCCAAAGCACACCCTTCATGGATAAGAGCTGTTATTACATCTGTATTCCCTACAACAGTAGCTCGGTGCAAAGCTGTCTGATCACCCTGCAAAGAGAGGAAATTTACCAACACATTTTATTTCAAGTTGACACAAATATACATGCACATACATCATACATGTCAATGCATTCCCCATAAACAGCGACACACACACACAGTGCTAATTAAATAGACTCACTCTTTTGACCTCAGCCCAGGTAACACCCTGGCTTTCAGACTCAAACTAATGTCATAGTCTGTCAAATTACTTCAGTGCAGTTATTCATAGACATCTTCAGCATTTCAAATATTCTGCTTTTCCTGTACAGAAACCACTCACATTTAGAAAACAGAATGAAACCTATGTGTCAGTTTTCATGCATAACTACTGTGCTCATGCTCTGTATACATGCATGTCATTACGATGATGATCTACTTTCAAGATCTCATGCTGCTTCCTTACATGGTTATACCTTCCTTGCTTGGAAGCAACCACTGTGTTAGATCCTAAGGGTAGGTTCTACCCATGTAACAGCACTTATGCTGGCAGAATGCCAATGTCCACTGTGAAGGTGGGAGGACTATTTGCTAGGATTCCCCACTCCACTGCAGACCCTCACTTTGCCTAGACAGTGCTCTTTTGATTCCTATGAGAGAATTCTGGGGAACTCGGAGGACTGCCATCAGCATGAGATACATAGGGAAGTCCAGCACTCTGGATAGGACTCCACTGGCAGGACTCAGGATCAAGCCCATTATTTCTGAAAAGAAGCAATCAGGTCTGTTGGACTGAAATGCATTACATGAGTTCAGCTACATGTAGAAGCTAGGAGTCAAATGACACAGATAAAGACAGATATAACTTTGTATACTGGAAGTGTCTTGAACTACATTTGCTGAGTTTCAAGGTATTTGATTTCAGGGCCTAAATTAATATGATGAGTATGGAAGAGATTTTTTATTTTTAAACATGTATTGTTTATGGTAATATTTACCATTTATTACAGTCAGCAAGGTTGAATACAAAAGAGGCACATCTATAATTAGCCTAGAACAAACTTTAGAAAGGCAATGTCTGAAATGCCTTCTGAGTTGCCATCATCGGGCAATTGACTACTGTGCCCCTCCCCACATGGTCGCATATATGCATATTTTATGAATCATGCAAACATATTTGGATTTCTTGACATTATAAATGTTGTATATAGTCTATTTTCAGGGAGCACTTTGTTTAGTTACTTTGGTTTGTAGATGATATTTACTTTTAGATTCTTTTTTGAGTTAATCTTTCTACCTTTTGTTACATTACCTTTCACTATTGGAAGAAGGGAAGCATTGGAGAGCAATGTCAGCCTAAAGCTACTCAGACAAGCCAAAGTGAGCATATGACCTGGACCTTAGGCAGAAAACAATTAAATGACCATAAGAACATAACTACATGATTCAGCCAATATGTGCCAGGTTACAGATGTGCGACCAGACTCAGATATACACTGGGAGAACTCAACCTCAAAGTGCTCATTTACTGGGTGCTGTGAGAGGTGAAGGAGTTTCCAGTCCCCCCCACCCCAGCAGCAGAAAGGGTGGCAAAGGGGCTTTTTGCCATCCCAGGGCATATGGAAGAAATGGGGGGAAGCCTTTCTACTGCCAAAAGCAGGGTGGGAGGGAACCTGGAAGTTTCTTCTCCCCCGTCGCAGCATTCCTTCACAGCACTGGGCAAATCAGTGCTTTTTAGGGTGAGTTCCCCCAATGTACATCTGACTGTGAGTCCATTTATGTGCCTGTGACCAACACATTGCAGCCCTATTGTATAGCTTGACCCTAAGAAACAAATGAGACATAGTAGGATTCATACATTCAGGGGTCTTTTTGTAGAAAAAGAGCTGCAGGAGCTCATTAGCATAACTCATTAGCATATGCCACACCCCCGATATCACCGGAAGTGTGTCATAAGGCCACACCCCCTGACATCACTGGTAGTGTGTCAGAAAGCCACACCCCCTGACATAAGCCTTCTGGAGGGGTCCCCATTTGGAAAAAAATCACGGTTATCAATGTGCACAGATAGACAGAGAGACAGAGGAAGAGACAAGGGACTATTCTTTGCAGTAAAAGCCAGAAGCCTCCTTTAAATAAAATCTAGCTCTGAGCCTATGGCCTAAGACAACTGCAGATCTGCTTTCTCGATATCAATGTCAGTAGCAACAAATCAAACATTTGGTACCCAGATATGTAGAAGCTATGAAATAGCTGACTGATATTGCCTCTTTATTTCTGGCACCACAGTCAAAGGATAGATTTGTCTGTGTAACAGTTTAAGTAGGATTAACTTTTGTGCAGCATTTCTAGGCTAGATGTTACAACAGAAAGATTAGAAGAGCACAGAAGATCTGA